CCATACATGGGAATTGGTTGATCTTCCTCCAGGAAATAAGCCTTTAGGTTCGAAATGGATCTTTAAACGGATAATTAAAGTTGATGGCACTATTGACAAATATAAGGCAAGACTTGTTGTCAAAGGTTATAGACAAAAGGAAGGCCTTGATTACTTTGACACTTACTCGCCAGTAACAAGGATAACATCTATTAGGGTGTTAGTGGCACTAGCGGCCGTGTATGGTCTTGAAATCCATCAAATGGATGTTAAAACAGCTTTCTTAAATGGAGAATTGGAGGAAGAGATTTACATGGAACAACCTGAGGGTTTTGTGGTTCCTGGTAAAGAAAAGAAAGTGTGCAAACTTGTTAAGTCGCTTTATGGACTTAAACAAGCACCCAAACAATGGCATGCAAAATTTGACCAAACAATGTTGGCAAATGGATTTAAAATCAACGAGTGTGACAAATGTGTTTACATTAAAAATACTCCAGGTCATGAAGTCATTGTTTGTTTATATGTTGATGACATGTTGATAATAAGCAAAAGTATGGCAGATATAAATGCTACAAAGCGTATGTTGGCTAGCAAATTCGACATGAAAGACTTAGAAGTTGCTGATGTGATCTTAGGAATCAGAATTCGCAAGACTCCACAAGGTCTAGCATTATTACAGTCTCACTACATTGAAAAGGTACTTGACAAGTTCAAGTATTTGGATTTCAAAATTGTCAAGACTCCAATTGACGTGAGTTATGCACTTCAAAAGAATGAAGGTGAAAGTGACTCACAACTGGACTATGCAAGAGTATTGAAAAGTTTGATGTATATCATGAATTGTACGCGACCAGATATAGCATGTGCTATTAGCAAACTGAGTCGGTTTACAAGTAATCCCGATCAAATATATTGGATGGCAATGAAACGAGTTTTGGGGTATCTGAAACATACCCAAAATTATGCTTTGCATTATAACAAATATCCTTCCGTGATCGAGGGATATAGTGATGCAAATTGAATCACCGGATCATCTGAAGTTAAATCCACGAGTGGATATGTTTTCACAATTGGGGGTGGAGCAGTATCTTGGAAATCATCCAAACAAATGTGCATCGCCTGTTCTACAATGGAATCTGAATTCATAGCTTTAGATAAGGCCGGTGAAGAAGCTGAATGGCTCCGGAGTTTCTTGCAAGATATTCCATTTTGGCCCAAACCTTTGGCACCTATATGTATATATTGTGATAGTCAAGCGGCAATAGGTAGGGCAGGGAGCGTTATGTATAACGTAAATCTCGTCATATTCGACGGAGACACAATACCGTTAGACAACTACTCTCTAGTGGTGTTATCACAATTGACTACGTAAAGTCAAGAGATAACGTGTCAGATCCACTTACAAAAGGCCTATCTAGAGAGGCAATTGAAAGATCATCAAAGGGAATGGGGTTAAAGGCCTAGGACAAGTCATCATGGCGGTAACTCTACCTAGCAGACTGGAGATCCCAAGAGCTAGGTTCAAAGAGATCAAACAAAGTTATGAATGACGGTTCAACATTGTCAACTAACTCAACCCATTCTCGTGATGAAGACATTTTTCAAAAATGAGGTAAAACATTAAGGCTTTTTGATGAGTCAATAAAGCTTAAAGCTTTTTAATGATTTGCTAAGTCTGGCAGGATATGACCGGATAGTGTGTCTTTAGGATTACACGTTTAGGAATCACCTATGTGAGTGTGCAGTGTAAGCCGCTTCAAGGAGAATGAAAGTAAAGGCCCATTCTCTAAGCACTCATGAAACCAGGCGGTGTTCATGGCTGAAATGAACACAACCGTGAGAACCATAGATGGTTAAGGATTGATTGTGTGACTTATGTTGTCTAGGTATACAACAAAGCTCGACGGTTCAAAGATATCAATCTACCGATTGACCGAGTATACCCGATATAAGTTCACTACGGAAAGTTCAAAGGGAAACCTACTTATCCAGATGCAATCAATTCTTGCATGTAAAACACACACACGTCCGTGCATTCCTTTAAGTTTATAGCCATTCCCCATTTATGTGGGGGATTGTTGGGTTTGTTATTATTTATTAATAACAAAAGAGGTGTGAATGAAAAATGGTGGGAAAAGAAATGGAGGGAAGTGAAATTTTGAATGAGTTCATTTCACTAATGCACTTTGTCCCTCATTGGTAGAAGGAAAGAAAATCTTTGTGTATATATAGAGAAGCTCATCTTTTAGCTCTTAAAGAGCTAAGAAGAAGGCAAGCCTCGCGCTGTCGTCGTCGTCGCTCGCTCGGCTCGGCTTCGGCTTCGGCTTCGGCTTCGGCTTCGGCTTCGGATTTGTCAAAGATTGATTGATTAATCTTTTTGGACAAAATTCTTTTCAAATATTTAATTAATTAATTAAATTAATTAAAGAAAATTCAATCCGGAATAACCCATGACCCGCGACCCGGTCCGGTCCGGCCCGTTTTCTTTCCCGGATTATTTTAAATCCGTTTTTACATTTCCCGCAATATTTCCAACAGCTATGGCTGTTCTGAAACAGTATCAAACCTGTTCCAACAGCCATGGCTGTTCTGAAAGGTTGCAAACCTTTTCAGAAACAGTACCAAATTGGCTATAAATATTCCTTCAAATCCCAGAATATTTACTTACAAAATTTTCTAATAATCTTCTTCTTCTTCTGCACAAAAATTCCAGTGTGTTTTACAGCCTTCGAGTGGTTCGCTGTTCATCGGCGTTTTTGGTACCAACACTTCGGTGAGTTAAATCGTTCTATCCTGGGAGGATATATTCCAGAACCTCGGGTACTTGAGGGGAATAACTTCCTTAAGGACACACTGTGTATTCAGTGGGCTCGATTTGTTCCTATACCATTTTCGAAATTATTTTGAAGTTCAAGTACTGTTTTTCAGAATTTATTTCTACTAACTTTCTGTTTCTGTTTTCAGAAAGATTATTGTTTTTATTTATTTACAGCAATACAGATTACTAACAGTCACCTCGCCAACTACCGCAAGAAACCTACTAAAGTAAAATTAAATTCTACCGAACATTTACAAGACCTACCATCTTATATGTGGTACAAGTTGGTTGCAAAAAATAAAGATAGCAAATTAAATAAAAAATGTATAACCAATAAATCTGGCGTAGAAGGAAAAATATAAAAAAATAATTAGTAAATAAAAGTTACCTGACCTTACTAAATTGCTTCTTTTTACATGGCCAGCCAAAATAGTTGTATGTTTACTTAATACTATTGACGATGTATACTATTCAATTAGAGTTTATCAACCAAATTTATTATGCAAGCATTGAGATTGACTCATGTATAATTTACGGGCAATGAAACATGAGTACTACTTTTCTTGAAGTAAATTATAAGCTTTTAAGAAAATATAAAAGAGTAAATAGTAGGAGTAACAAATTGTGTTGGCAAAGTTTCGTTATCTCAAAGTTTAGGAGGTTAAAAAAATGATGAACAACAGGCGCTCCTAACTCTTCTTTCATTTACTCTTTACAAAATCTATTTTTTTAGAATCAAACTACTTACGTTAAATGCGAGAAAATACTTTTCATTTCCCACACATAGAACAAGCTTTGTATGATTTTCAAAGGGTAATAACTGGATTTTTGAGAACAAGTGTCATAAACGAAACTCATAAAGATTATATAACGTATCTACCTAAATTTAAAATTAAAAATTAACTAGGCCCCCATCTTTGAACAATAATAATAGTAGAGCTCTTTTCCCGAGTAAACAAAAGAAGCTAATTTTTATAAATTAAAAGTGATCTTTCTTTTCCATCATAGTATATTCAAATTGTATAGAAATCATGTAGAATTCATTTTTGGGAAATAATTTTGCTAAGAGTAAACGAGAGTCCAACATGACTTGAAAAAGAACAACAAGTATCCACCTTGACCTTTCTATATATGCATATTTAAATATCTTTAAAAAGTATATTCCTTCCTATCGAACGTAAGTGACATTTTAGCTAAATCACTTTTGGTAAAAATAGATGTTGCTTTGAAAAATCAAGAACAAGAGTTTGTGTTATCTGAGTATCTGCGCAAAACTATTTTAATTAATGACTTCACATTGTAAATGAAAAATTATTTTGTCAATACATATAGTTAAATAAAAAATTTACTCATGCTAATTAGCACAATACTATCGTGAAACAAGCTCTTTTAAACTTTAATTTTTAACTAGCAGTTGGAACTGATAATACTATGATAATTTTTTTTTTAAACTGATTTTAGGCGATTTAAGATTAACTTTAAGATTATTTAGAGATGACCTCTAAGATCAGCGTTCTTTTATAATAAAAAAATGTTTAGCATAGTGCATTGGGCAATGCTGCTCATGGGCAACTCCTTACGAGTAAACAAGGGAGAAAGTAAAAAATAACCAGATTTACAAGTGTTCGTTCAAAAATTGTCACAGTTTCAAAAGTAATCGCAATTTAGCCACTTTTCATGTAAAGATAAATCTGAACGAAAATAATGTTCAAAATTTGAAAAATACTCCAGCATAAGTATACTTTAACTCCAACATATTATAATGGAGTTCCAACATAAGTATACTGGAACTCCAGCAATATACTGGAGTTCCAGTATAATATACCGGTCCAGCATAATATGCTGGAAGTTCATACACAGGTGCTCCAATCTCCAGTATATTATGCTGGAACTTTCCGCGTGTTGGAGTTTCATAATATGCTGGAAGTTTATACACATGTGCACCAATCTCTAGTATATTATGCTGGACCGGTTCCTGTTACAGCAAAATAGTGACAACTTTTCAATGACTTTGTAAATATTAGCTATTTTTAAATGACAAATTGAAAAACTGGCTAGCTCGTGCTATTTTTACGGTAAACAAAGAAGTCGCAACAAGGACATTTTAACTCATTAAGGACATTTTCTCGAATGATTAGAAATCAAAAGCGACCATATGACCACGTTGGCCACTTACAACTCATTAATTAGATTTTAGAGTGGCAATGCCAACTTGGAATCAATTTACAGTGGCAGTGTCTTTCTCAAATAGCCAAAGCTTAAAACCCAAAACCCCACCTAAACACTTTCTTTTTTGGCGCTAACACTCTTCACAGACTAACGTTAGCAGCCATTTTTAGTGAATCAATCAAATGGGGGAAGAAGAAGCTTCAGAGCAGCAGCCCATTAGAGAATCAATGGGTGAAGAAGATGCTGTAGAGCAGATGGAAGACCCAACAGAAGCTGTAGAAAAACAATCGGAAGAATCTTCTTACCGTTGGCCGGTTATTCAATATGATATTCCCCCATATCGAACCTATCATTTCTTCAATCACTTCAGAACTCCTTCTAACCCTAACAATTTCTTAAAGGGTGTCAAATGGTATGCCTTTTCTCCTTTCTTTAACTTTTTCCATTTCTTTTATTCCCTGTTTTCTCTGTTATTTTCTATATATGTTATGTTATGGTTAATTCTATTTCTGTTAATGAATTATAGGTCCCCTGATGGCTCTTGCTTCCTCACTTGCTCTGATGATAATACCTTTTGTTCCTTTACCTTGTAAGTTTTCTCTCACAACTATAAATAATGATAATTTTTACCCCGGCCCAACTGTGAAATTTATAAATTTCAAGTCTTGAATAAGTTTAAAGTATTAATTTTTGTACTTTCTTTTATAAATACAATTATTTTGAATTAGTTCATCTTTTTGTTATTGGATATCTGGGGCTTAAAATTTTATTGGTAGATGAAGTTTCACTTAAAACTGGCTGTCTGAGCTTTGCAATTCTGGCCCAAGCCTTTATAAAAGGAGAAAGGTTGTGGTAAGCTGAAAACTAGTGTAGAAATATTCATGATATGATGAATTATCTAAACAGAGAGGGGAATGGATATAGAGAATTCATATAGCTGACCGTAATGAGTTTGTGAATTAGGGAAAATAATTGATTGATTGACAGATAGATAGATTCGTTTCTGGTGTTATTATGAGGCTGACTATGAAGCACATAGTAAGAAATGGTACATAGTTATTCTAGCATTTCCATTGTCATTGAGTTGCTTTCTTAGTTTGGCTCTGCTTCGTTGATAGGCCATATGATGAAAGTGGATGGCTTGCTGATACTTCTTCATCAGCTGCTGATACAGGTAAATTTATATGCTGTTAGTATATTTAGGTTTGAATGTCGATCATGTGTGTTCAGTATTAAACTTGATATGATTTGCCATTCTCATGTTGTTGTTTATTGTGTTTAAGTCTGTGACGATTATCTGCAGATTCTTATGCTGCAAGCCTTGTCATGAGTGAGGGGGAGTCTGTATATGACTATTGCTGGTATCCCTATATGTCTTCTTCAAGTATGTCAATTGCCTTGTTATTTGTGGTAATGCTGACTGTGATAAGAAAAAATTAACTAGAGTTTTCTTTCATGACCCAGGTCCAGAGACATGTGTTTTTGCAAGTACTGCCCGTGATCACCCTATTCATCTTTGGGATGCTACTACTGGACAGGTGTGTTATCGTCTTTAGAACTGTTGCTACATATATTTTTTTCCTCTCGCTTGCACTTTGATGGGTTGCTACCTGCCCATGATTTGTGTAGCTGCTCAACAAGCTTAGCTAGGAAGATATTCTTCCCTACATTATCTTTTCTTGGGTGGTTGCAGTTACGCTGTACTTACCGTGCTTATGATGCCATGGACGAGATCACTGCTGCCTTCTCAATTGCTTTCAACCCAGCAGGGACTAAGTAAGCATTTTTTTATCAGACTGCTTTTCTCTTTCCTCCCTCGTAGGTCACAGTTCATGTAGAGGGACCTGGTCCTTTCTCTTTAATTTTATTTGTAGTATCTTAGTTTTGTTTTGGAAAAAAGAAGAAAACAAGAAACATAGCACACTAGGTATAAGTTTTTGTTTGCAGTCAATGACATTATAGAAATGACTGATGCTGTGTGATCTCTGATTTCATTAGTTTATTAGGTTAAGCGTGTTTAGTGCAAAATATTTTTTCTGCTTATATGATTGATTAAAGGGTTTACTTCCACGGACATGATTTGCAATTTCCAGATTAGTCAATATAATTGCTGCCAGACGGCCAAGACCTGTTGGATAATCCATCTAATCGGTAGATTTAATTGAGCTGTAATCTGTGAGTTAGTAGAGAGGCCATCAAAATGAGATTTTCAGCTATCCTGGCAAATACATATACCTCTTATTCATTTTATATGGCGGTGCCGGTGATTGACTGAACACAGAGTTTAAAAAAGAAAGGAAGACTTTGATCACATAAAGTCTCTCTCTATACACATATATAATATGTGCGTGTGCTTGCATACTCGCGCGGGTATATGTAAACTAATAACAACCAAAAGTACCACTAGTATCTAGTGGCTTTCGACATGCAATGCCAATTACTATAAGAGCATGTTATTGAGGATAAGTTGGAAACGTTAAAATTAAAATGTTTCTAAATATGAAAAGGTGTCAACTTTTTCAGAACAAACCAAAAGAAAAAACACGTGCCCATATTAAATGGAACTAACGAAGTACAAGTTAGGTAATCTTCAAAATGGATGTGAAGAAAAAGACGCTCTATCAAATAGATGCAAAGAAAAAGAAGCTATGGAAGACAACTCCTTATTTTGTCTTTTATATTTCGTGGAAGGCAAGATAGGAGATCTTTTGAAGGTAAAGAGTGCATTCTTGAGGGTCAAAAGTTCTGTTGTATTTCTTTTGTTGATTTTTTGTTCAAAGTGGAAATACCAACTTGTCTAGAGGGTTGGCTGGAGTGTTGTATGATTACAGTGCATTGTTTTTTGATAAAGACATCTGGAAACGTATTGTATGGTCACAATGCCTTTGTAGATATCACACCATCTCAGTGAAGCGTAAATGAACTCTTTTGATTCATTGAAAAACTGTAATCTATGATCAGAAAAGACAGAAATGAGACCTAGTTGTCAATTTTCGGTGGTTGCTAATGAATCTCTTGACGCTCCACTCTCCCAAAAGATGCTTTTCCCTTTTGGTTTTTCATTTTGTTTCATAGACTTTACGACTAATGCATTTTCAGTTTTTCTTTGAGTATCTTCTTACTTCATTTGCACTACGATGCTAAGTTCTTTTGTGGGATTGTGATCTGCTTCATTTTCTTTATTTATGTATTAGCTGGTAATTTGATACAAAAGAAAGTTTTCACTGACTCTTTATTCTTTTTGAGTTAGGATATTTGCTGGATACAACAAATCCGTAAGAATATTTGATATTCATCGGCCTGGTAGAGATTTTACCCAGCACTCCACCCTTCAAGGAAATAAAGAAGGGCAATCAGGTATTTTCCACTAGCTGCTTCTCTTTATGATCAACATTTCAGCACTCAGCTCTATAAATAAGACAAGAAGCGGACGATTATCTGTGTCAAACACATCAATCTGATAGTTCTCTCAAAGTGAAACTAGATAATGCAGTTGAAGTTAATTAATTCTCCTACTTTCTGATGCCAACATTATTCCTCATTATACATTTATTATTCTGACACCTCTTACCTTATCTGTTTAGGCATTATATCCTCAATTGCTTTCTGCCCAAGCCATTCAGGATTGCTGGCTACAGGCTCCTATAGCCAAAGTACTGCCATACATAGAGAAGATAACATGGAACTTCTCTATGTATTGCATGGTCAAGAAGGTGGGGTAACACATGTAAGTTGGTAGAGCTGTCATTCATTTTTTTTCTTATACGCAAATCCTTAATTGATTCTTCAACCATAACATTCACTTATCAGGTTCAATTCTCAAAAGATGGAAACTACTTGTACACTGGTGGCAGGAAGGTAAGAATTTGAATGATGGTACAGTACTGTTCATTTTTAATGCCTATTTAACAGATGCTCGTCCTTCATTTTTAATGCCTTCCTTTGTGAAGAGAATGCTGGATCTGAATCTCATTTTATCTATCATAAATGATGGAACTATGCACTTGCCGCCTTAAATGGTTTCTGGATTTCTAATCTTTAGCAAATAAGAAGCCAGAATGTATAGACAGCTCAAAAGAAGAACTTATCCATTTGAGTCTATTTTCATTTTTTATGCAGGCTTTTTATTTGGTTGGGATAGGGTTGGGGCAGATCAGGACCTGAAACTGTTTTAGTGGATAAACAGCTAATTGGAATAGTTTAGGCATACTTTGATTTAACAAAGTAATACATAAACGAAAACAGCTATCCTTAATTTTTGAGAAAGTGATTTAGGTTCTAATAACTCCACATAATATGAGAGATTCTTAAAATAGGAAAGAATAATAATCAAAGAAAGTCTTAAGGTCGATTACTGAGCAATGGTTTTGCAAAATCTTTTTGATAAGGTAAAGTAATAAATGGTTTTACAAAATTATTGAAGTTCAATTACCATTTTCAACTATGGTTTCACAAAGTTAAATATAACAACCTCATTAGCTCTTTTGCAAATTATTACTAAACAGAAAAATGCTTTGCACAATATCAAAATTAGAGCAAGAGAATGAGTTTGATTACTCATTAGTAATTAGTGGTAACCATATTTAGGACTTGGATACTGCTGTACTAATGATCCTAGCACCTGCTCTTCTGTCTTATCTCTTTTATTTTATTTTTGTTTTTCCTTTTATTCTTTCCCCTCTTCTGTTAAGACTTTAAATGAGTTGAGATCTTGAAAGCAATTTATGACTTTAGTGTTCCCGTGGAGTTAGTGCCAAAGATATTAGAAGGGAGAATGCAAAACAAAGTCGGCAAGCGTATGATGTTCCGGGCGAATGTATAATTGACTACATTGCCTTTAAATTTATAGCATCGATTTAATAGGTTTCCTTCTCTCTCTCTCTCTCTCTCTCTCTCTCTCTCTCTCTCTCTCTCTCTCTCTCTCTCTCTCTCTCTCTCAATCTCAGATACACACACACACAACAAAGTTAGCGGGTTTCACAAGTCTTTAGATCATTGTTTTGGTTATTATAATTCAGTTTATGTGTTCGCGTGTGAGTGCAAATATATGCTTCAACCCACTCCGGAACTTTCAGATATTTGCTGGTTTAGGGAAGGGAGGCCCTTGCCATGCTGTAGATGACCCTTATAAGATTTTCATAGTAAGCTTTGATTAAAGTTCATCAGGGAAGCCTTCATGTGATGTCAGCTATGTCAGAGATTTGCGAACTTCTGCCTTCTAGACTTATAAGTGTGCAGTTTGTTACTCTTGAGTTATAAAATTAAAATAAGATCTGTATTTGTTTCCTTTATTCAGAAATATAAACTTTGTGCCTGTTTAGCTAAAAGGCATATGATTTCCCTCACTTGTCTATTTATGATCTAAACTTTGACTATTTCCTCTTCGGACTCATTTCTTCTATATCGCCACATGCGCTAGTGCTACCCTATCATGCATGCATCTTATATTAAGCATATGTTTGACAAAGTTCATCTCAAACTTGTTTTAGGACCCTTACATACTGTGCTGGGACATTCGGAAGACTGTTGAAATTGTTTACAAGTAAGTTCCTTTCTACTGACTGGATATTGAGGGAACAAGAGTGTTGGAACGATTGACTGAATGGTTTTGTTTCTGTTCAATATAGAAACTAATGAAATGCATTCCTCTTCAACTTTCTTGTGTCTGACGTCTCACTCTCTTGCTTGAAACGTGATAATCCTTTAGCAGTTTCCTTGTCCTGTAAAACAACACTATATATGCTCCTATGATGTTTTCCTGGAGAGGGATTCTTTTATAATCTGAAGCGGTCTATTTTGTTTAAGGGTGGAATAGATGATTATTGCTTGAAAGTATTGAAATCCTGTCTATATTCTGAAATCATCGCTGTATTCTTTCCGTGCTCTTGCATATTCAGCAGGAGGGATGATTACATGAGATTCAAACATTATTCATTGGTTTTCTCCCTTAAAGAATATGCTTAGATCACTTCCCGAAATTTGTCAGCTCCTTAGCTTTATAAGTTTTTTGTATTTTTTGGGCTGACATTTTGCCTCCTTTGTATCTCTGCATCCCCTGGATGTCTTAATAATATTTCACCTACTTCATTAAAAAAAGAAGAAGAAGCTTTCTTTGATGCCGAACCTGCAAAAGATACAACTATTATTTGGACAGCCATGCTGCTCGAATTTTCTTTCTTTTGCCCCATAGGCCTGATAAATTTTTTCATGGGAAGTTGGTACCTTGTTGTTTGAGTGTCTTTTTTGTTTTGTATATGTGGTGTTTACATGCAAAGTGATGAGCTCACAAGAATATACTTTTTGCGTTATCTGGAGACCAATTTATTAAAAATTGTAGAAATCTGCTTCTCTTGTTTCGGTATTATGTTGGTTTCACTAAGCCACCTCACCCTGGATTAGGTGAAATCTGATTATTAAATGACATGTAGAAAAGAAAAGAAAATCATTAATGTGAAATGCGGAAGTTATCGATATATTAGTATACTAAACAGGTTCATTTCCTCTTATGGGACAAGCTTTTGGAAAGTAATCATGGAGGAAGAAAGAATCACAAAATTCATGGGATTCTTGGTGGCAGCTGGATGTAGAAGATGATATTGGTGGAATTTATGGTGCCAAGATAATAGTCCAAAAGATGATTTCCTACTCTATTCTCATTGGAGATGATCACGGTAGCTGAGGTTCTAAAGAAAGATAGTTCTTAGGTATCGTGGGTGTATCCTTTAGAATACCTCTATAGAATTAGGCATTTAGTGAGGTGGAAATCCTGCTGGGATTGTACAATCATAGAAAATTTGAGGAAGTTGATGGTATCGAAAGAATCATGGTCGAAATGAATACTTCCTATATCCTTCTATTTAATGGAGAAGATCCTAGATCTTTGTGGAGAAATTATCAAAATCTACGGCGCCGACAAAAGTTGCATTCTTGATGTGGTGTGTGGTATGGAAGCCGTTTTGACTGCAGATAACCTAAGGAGGAGAAGGTGCATAGTGGTTAGTTGGTACAACTCGTGTAAGAAGTAATGTAAATCTTCTACTACTTCAATGTGATTTTACTTGCTCAGTTACACTTTTATTTTCCATTGCATGATACCGAATTTTGGGTACAAAGGAATGGTCGAGGGCAAACACTTGAAGAAGTGCTTTTTCATGAATGGGGCATAACTCTTCCAAAAGATTGGTCTACATGCTCAGCATTCTATAAAATGGAAGAACAATTTATATTATCTTGGTATTATAGCGATTATCCAGCCAATAGTCACAGATTTTCGAGCTATCCATGTTGAGAGTATCCATTTGCATGAATTCAATAATTAGCTATAGTGATACTTGTGCAAGTTTGAAATCATGGTGACTGAGTGCTTCAGTGATCAAGTTTCTAAAGTTTCCTTTTCTATTTCATTTAATAAGGCTGTACAGATCATCAGAAACTACCAATCAGCGCATATATTTTGATATTGAACCTCAAGGTCAGCATCTTGGCTCTGGAGGACAGGTAATCTTCTACTTAGTTAAAAATTACATCGCCTTTCAGAATTAAATTCAAGATCTCATATTGCGTGCTTGCTTGTCTGTGTAGGATGGCTCAGTTCACATTTATAATCTTCAAACTGGACAGTGGGTGTCCAGCTTCCGAGCTGCATCAGGTACTTCTTTATGTTCATATACAGAAAGCTTATGTTGGAAGAAGGTCTACCTATTTTCTTCTATTTCTTACTCAGCTTATCCCATTTCAGACACGGTGAATGGTTTTTCCTTTCATCCTTTCCTGCCAATGGCTGCCTCTTCGTCAGGCCACCGGAGGTTTGGAGTTTTAGATGACGCCTGCGAGGATCTGCTCCTTACTGGTAAATTTATTCACGTTACATTTTTGGAATATTGCCCCAAAGTATTATGCGTTCAAACTTTTGTAGTCGTCTGCATTGAATTATCTTCATTGTTGATGCCATATCTTCTCCTTCTATGCTTTGATATGTCTGATTCCTCATTCCCATTTACCACTTTCTGAGAAACAAACTTGTTGTCATGCTTCTTAGTCCTACTTGCTTCCCTTCTTAATAAAGTTGCTAAAATGCTTAGATCATCTGCTCAGATCAAGTCAATGTTTGCATTTGTTGTATGAAATGCTCTTTGTTATTATAGTGGTCTGCTTGATTACAAAAAACCATTCAAGTCCTCCTGTCAACATGAGAAGTTCTAAATATGATTGTGTTTTCCTTGTTTAGGTGATGAAAATTGTGTTTCTGTGTGGAGCTTCTCCTATTCAGCATCCTTAGAAAATGGTGATAGTCCCAATTCTGGAGGCTCAAATGGTAAATCTGAGCTTCAGGACCTTCATCAAGAATCTTGATCCTTGTACCAGCCTTGTGTATAAACTTATCTCAGCATGTGGTGCCATCACCTTCATTGTGCCACCTTAAAATACAACCACAGAAAGTCATTCTAAACAAACTGTGTTGCACTATTTATGAATGTATGCGCAATAGCTCTGCTGCCTTAAATTTTCCTAACCAGTTATTAGCTCATAGATATTACTTCTGGTAGTTGCCTCATTTGGACTTAATTTATCCTTTTCTCCTTTTCCATTTTGGTATATGGAAAAGAAAATCACAGCAAAGTTTGAGGAATTGTGTCTAGCTTGCTACTTTTTGAATGTGTTATCCATGCATGGTAATGACGGAGTCTTTTCATTATGCTCTTAAAGTTTTGTCAATGCTCAAAATAGCTGGAAAAACATCAACCTTGTGTTGTTGGAGGTGAGAAACCAATCATCTTTCTCATCATTTCCTTGAAGCACCCCACTCTTGTGAATCATTCAATCACACTATCCAGCTGAGAATCTCATTTGTTGCTCGTTTTCGCGGCTCCTACTTTTGAGACCTACTTGTGTATGTCATCTTTGCTAGACTTCAGGCCTCATAGATCCATGTTGGCTAGGTCTACAGTGATCTCAGATTCATGGTCCTAGACTTTGCATATACATCTTTTCTGGCATTGTTCCTGCTGTTTGTCTTTCCCTGTGGTTCCAAAGAATTCAAGCTATTCCACTTGTCCCTCTTTCCTCTGAGAAATTTTTGTGGTCTCATAATATTTAAATAGTTAGAAACTACTGCTCAAACAACAGACTGAATCTCTTCGAGTTATTGATTCGCCTGACTCAAAAGCATGCACAAACTGCTTCGTCAACCGTTCATTAGAGACGGGATCAAGAAATACATAATTCATCCTACTTTGATACCGAACTGTATATATAGTAGAATCTCCCTCTCTCAGTTCCTTCATCCAACTTGTACTAACTACTAAGTACTCATCTTTGTACTTGGATTCTATATATGGAGAATTGTGCATGGGTGAGATGAGACCATGCATGTGATTATGTGAATGATAATATATAGATTGTTATACGGCGAATAATAATAATAATAATAATTTAAGAGGTTTGGTTCATGACATTTATCTTTACTAACGTGGTCAACCTACGAAGCGCTAAAAATGATTACTTTGCGAATAATAATATAATTGCCTAGTTTACGGGCATTTGAACTTATACTGTATTTGTACCAGTTCTATTACATGTTTTTTGTTCCTATATTTTATCCTACAAAAATAATTACATTGATTTCCTCATAAATTATGCAGTGTTAGATCTTAAACCAAAAACTTTATTAATAACCAGATTTATATAAAGATCCAGATGTTATATTAGTTATGTAGAAATTGCATCGATAATGCGTATATAGTTTTATGTTGCAAAACAAAAATTGTATCAGCTGTGCAAAATATTATGCCAATATTATTTAATATTATTTTTTCTTCTGCGGGACATGAAGCTTAGACAGAAAGTTGTGGAGGTCGAGCATTAAAGTTATAGGTTAGGACGTAGTTATGCATATTTCTACAGCGCAACAGAGTCTAGTCTGTTAGGATTTAGTCTCTGCTAGTGGTTAGTGTTGAGTTCTCACTTCTCTTTCGTTCCTCTTAGTTTCAGACTTTATCTATTGGTTATTGTTTTGCTTTGCATCTATTTCCTGGTTTTTGTAATGCCGTTATTTTTTTTTTTTTAATATGATTTTTATTGATGGTACTGATATTTTGCCTCTTTTTGTCTTCTTGAGCCGAGGGTCTTTCGGAAACAGCCTCTCTACCCCTCGGGATAGGGGTAAGATTTGCGTACACACTACCATCCCCATACCCCCACTAGTGGGATTTTACTTGGTCATTGTTGTTGTATTTTTGTCATATGCGGCCAATGTAAATTAACCGAAGACTTCTCGTGTTTTTGGCTCATTCGCCAGATCAGGTAACATTGTAAAACTCCCTACTGATAAGTTTGGAGTTATGAAACTCAGTTTAATATAATCTGCTCTTTAATTAAGTTTTTTCCCCCGTTAGAATACATGTTAATTCAAATTTCAAACTTGAAACAATTAATCACATAGGTAAAAGAATTTATCAAATTATTTTCTATTATAAAAAAATTCATTTGTTTATTATACAATCTGATATATCGGGGCTCTGAATTCAAGTAAAACGCCATAAAGCAGTCCCCTCTAACGTAATCTAACTATAGATTACTTTTTTGTTACTTACTTATGAAATTTGACTATATTCTTATTGTATTTATTTTGCCAGATAAGAATACATTCATTCATGGGCTATATATACATAGGTTTCTCACATTTTCTTCTCACTACATTTTGTCTTAATATTTCCTCCTCTCTAAATACATTTTGTCTTAATATTTCTCTTTTGTAACTTAGAAAAATAGCTATGGAAGGTTCAAGTTCAGGGTCCAAAATAAAGCGAGTTTTGGTGCCAAATCCAAGGAAAAGATTTAGGAGAAACTCTTTGGAAACAAATAATAATGATGAATCCAATAATTCTACTGTTTATCTTCCTATTGAAATTGTTGATAGGATTTTCACTTTTTTACCTATCGAATCTGCTATTACTTCTTCTTCTCTTGTTGCTAAACCATATAGACATTCATGGTTATATTCTCGTAATCTTTGTTTTGATAAAGATTTTAGGCGACGTTGTCGAGCGGGACAATGGTCAGAGGCGTCAATTGTTAATTATATATTACAAAGGCACTTAGGTGACAAAATTAGTAATTTTAAATTATATACTTGTCCTGTACCATATGTTGCTCATTTTCAGAATTGGTTTAAAACGGTTGCATCAAAAGGCGTAGAAGATTTTCAAGTAGAGTTAGTTCAACCTTTCGCTTTTTGTCAAATAAATTCTGATATTTTCACTGAACCAACTCTTCGTGTCTTAAAATTAGTTCGTTGTGAACTATTTTTGTCACAAAATTTGAGTGGTTTACAATTCTTGAAATCTCTTAGTCTAAGTATGATTCCTGTGTCACCTTCTTTTACTAAAAGGTTGTTTTCAAGCTGTTTGCTTCTTGAATATTTGGCTTTAGAGGGTTGTTGTTTGCTTGGTGAAATTACCATTGAGGGTTTGAATAGGTTTAGTGCTCTTGTCCTTAAACATAGCATTGACTTAATTTTGGTCACTATTAATACTCCAAGTATTACCACACTTCATTATAGTGGTAAGATTAATAAAATTAAGTTTGTGGATCCAATGGTCATACGATTAAAAGATGTGATTTTGGATTTTGGTGCTACAAAAGGGCTTCAACATATAGCTGATAGGGATGATTTGTTGCAAGTTTTGAGAGATGTTGAGACTCTCTCAATTACCAATGCTTTTCTTGAGGTAAAATAATTATATCATATATATATATATATATATATATATATATTTTCCTTTTTTTATATTTACTGACAGCGTAAATAATTTTTTTTTTTTTTATTTGATTAGGGGCTTTCTACAAGATTTGTGGATTTTGAGTACAGAGATGTGGAGTACTATTTTCAGAATTTGAAGGAACTCCAATTGGTTAGACGTGGATTGAGCTTTGTCAACCCTTGGGACATTCTTTGTTTTGTCAAGAATTGTCCCAACATAGAGAGACTCTTTATTGATGTAAGTATATATTCTAACCTTTTAAACAATTTTTTTTGTTAAATAGTTATTTGTTTATTTCTTAATTTTTCGTGTGTTTGTGAATTTTTTTGTCTTAATTTGTTTGTCCATGTTTACTTTTCAACTTGAAAATAGAACTTCTCATGATTTATTAATCGCAAAATCCAGAATAAAAAGTTATGAAATGAACCCATCAACATATATAGATTTTTATTCAATGCCTTTCTCTTTAGATCTGATATTTTAAAAAGACAAATTTTAGTGATATCTATTCCTATATAGAAAATAATCAAACCTTCTATCAAAAAGGAAAACGAGAAATAAACTGGGCTATTAGAATCAGTGGATGATGTTGTTTCGCGGAGTATTATCACTTTTAGCCCGTGTCAGAAATTTGTATAAAATATTTGGTAGTCGAAAAGTGTATAAAATTTGTATAATTTTTGTATATAACATACAGAATGTATATATATACAAAAAATATATAAATTTTATACATTTTTCAGTTATTATTTTTACAGTTTTTATATTGTGTCATTTTTCCTCGTTTCTCGTTAATTTGTACGTACATCTTTGAATTAAAACTCGTAGTCACAACTAGCTTGTTTTATCTATTTCACTTGTAGAGAATAATGTGTTCCCTACAAATATTATTGTAAATTGGGTTAAGACCTTGTTTTAACTTTTGTACCGTGCTTTATATTAATGTTATCGCATGGTTCTTGGGAAAATGGAAAAAAAAGAAAAAAAAAAGAGGAAAAAATACTCTTTATTTAATCAGTATTTATTTAATTAGTGGAGTAATTAACAAAATAATTATGCAGTTTGGTCTTTATGCAATGGAAGTTGGAAGCTATTGGAATATGGTGGCAAAGGAAAAATTTGAGAAATGCCAAACAGAATTCCCACAATTGAAGTTATTGAAGGTGAAGAGGTTTAAGAAACTTGAGCTTGAAGAAAAATTGGTGAAATATTTCTTGTTGCATGCTACGTCTCTGGAGTCTTTGATTTTGTTGGAAGCAAAAAATTATCGTCATGAAATTAAACTGAGTGATATCATTTATTATAAAACAGTTTCAAACGTAGCTACTGTTTCTACCTTTAGTGCTTATCAAGATCAAAGTCGTGTGTTTCCTAAGCATACAGTCCTGCAGTGAGCGCGTAAGAAGGACAGTCCGATGCACAAAGGTATCCTGCGTTTCGGGAATATATTCATGCATTCATCAAAAAAAATTGTTGTGTTTTCTTTCTCTTTTTGTTTCGACATTAATGGAGCAGTACTTGTTGTGGTGAGAATAAGTAGTCAAAGAAGGGATATAGTATCAATATTATTCTTGTTGTAATGAGAAAAATTGGAGATGATGTACTGCTGGTTTTAAATAACATATGCATCTTTTGGATTTCATATATGGGTTTTTATCGTTTCTCTTCATTTTTACTTTTTGAATTCACCATCTCGCCTAAAAAGTTTAAACATTTAATATTCATTATATTATTTAGATGTTAATTAATCTTCATTGCCCTGCGTTTTACAGACTAATGTGTGTATAATTAAGCCACTAATTTCCTCCCCCTCCCACCACCTTCTCACTACTTATAATCGCTTCTATTACTTTTTTCTTTTATAATATATATATATATATATATATATATATATATATATATATATATATATATATATATATATATATATATATATATATATATATATATA